CCCCCCCAGACCCACTCCGGACCCGATTGTCCGCCCTGTTTGGCACACTACTGCCGAGCAGTGTTTTTCGAGAGCGTTTTTTAACCAGAACTACACCCGGGTGAGACAGCGGATCAGTATGCCGACGCCCTCCGGTCCTTGCCGCAAAGGCATATCCCGAAGGTTCGCCGAAAATTCGTAAAGTGCACGCGGCCCAGTGATTCATGGCTGGTGTACGAAACGCTGACTTGAAGGCGAAATTTCGCCGGAGAGTTGACCGGACTCCAAGGGACACGCTCCATATCGCACGGACCTACGAAAACCCGTATGACAGCGGAGATCCATCCCCAAATCCTGCCCCATTGTTTCCGACAGCGCAACGTCACCGGCAGGATATATGGACCCCCACTGAAGCCAAGCCAAACCCCGAAGTTGCTTCTACTGTACGCGCCTCTGAAAGAATGCCAGGCTCTGAGGCCACAACTCTCATAACAGTAAGTCTCCGTTGTCCAAGACTGTCCTCCGTTGTCCACGACTGTCCCCATCGCTTCTACTAGACAGTTTTCCTCTCTACTTATAATAGGGCAGTTGAAATCCAAGCCTGTGAACATCTTAGTCGATACCCGGGCTTCTCGTTTGATTGTTTCTATTTATTTATTAGGACCAAAGCTTAATAGTAGCAACAATTGCCCGGAACTCCTTACCGCCGACAGGTCTATCATTTCATTACTTGGCATTAATAGGGCGGTACTTTCCCCGTCGAACATAGCTTCTAACTTCATGTTCATCCGTTCACAAACCAATTGGGATGTAATCGAGGGCATGGATTTCTCAGTCATGCACGGAGCCCACATTGATGCCCAGGCAGGTACCGTCCGGTTCTCTAAATCAGAGTGTAACAGTACTTCGTCGGTTGACACAGAAAGTTTCGTGATTTGTGCTCCAACATACCTGACACAGAGAGTATTAGTGTAATCAATTTGCCCTTGGAGTTCTACATTGTGCTGGATATCTCACGACCCTCTCTGGGGCGAACCAACGTTCTTCGGCATGCCATCAATACAGATGGTCATAAGCCAATACGTGCCCCCCCAGGAAGGTTCCAATCCACTACCAGGGTGAACTTGCCAACTTACTTTCCGAGATGTTGAAGAAAAAATCATCCGTCCGTTTTCCTCGCCTTGGCCTTCACCAATCGTGCTGGTAAGAAAAAAAGATGGTAGCTTACGGATATGTGTGGACTTCCCACAGCTGAATCAGGTCAATGGGCGTGACTTATTCCCGCTTCCACGTGTGGACGATACCACTGACGCAGTAGCTGGCTCAAATTGGTTTTCCACCCTGGATTTAGCGTTCTTGATATTGGCAGGTCGAGGTCCAACCGAAGGATTGCTGTAAAACGGTGTTTGTAGTGTCGTCAGGACTGTATGAATTCGTAACCATGCCATTCGGACTCGCGAACGCACCAGCCACATTTCATCGACTTATGCAGACAGTCCTCGCAGGGTTGGTCCCTAAATGTTGCTTGATCTACCTGGACGACATCATTGTTCACGCCGCACAATCGACGAACACAGCGGCCCCAAGGTGGCTGGCCTAACCCTCCGCGCGGATAAATGCATGTCCCTCCAGCGTAAAGTGCTGTTCCTGGGACACATTCTCTCTTCCGGTGTGGTCCAAACGCATCCGGATAAGACAAAACACATTGCTGAGTGGCCGACACTGACGGGTATGCATGGCTTACGCAGTTTCCTCGGGCTTGAATCATACTACCGGAGGTTCATTAAAGGATTTGCCGCAATCAGTGCTCCACTTCACAAGCTTACCCACAAAAATCGAAATTTTTCGTGGGCTGTGGAATGTGACGAAGCTTTCAACCGTCTTAAGCAGGCATTAACATCTCCATCCATTATAGCTTACCCGGATCTTTCACCTGATGCGGGAGAGTTCGTTTTAGATACTGACGCTAATCAATTAGTGCCGTAGTCTCCCAACATCTGGCTGATCGAGAGGTTGTCATCGCACATGGTAGATGTGCTCTAGATAAGCGTGAAATGCTTGCTCTGGAGCGCTATTCTCCATCGTTTCCGGCCTTATTTGCTTGGCAGGACTTCCTTTTCCGGACGGGCCATCACTCACTACAGTGGTTGCAGAGTATCCGCGATCCCGATGGCCAGGTTGCACACCGGCAAGAGCGAATTCAGGAGTATAATTTTGCTTGCACTTATTGCATGGGCATTAGACACTCGAATGCTGGTGCGTTATCTCAAAGACCAGCTCAAGAATAAGATATTGCTAACGTGCTAATTGCCTCTAATCGAATGAACTGGGAAGAACAATCCAGGGACGCAGATATTGGAGAGATTTATCGCCTCCAGTTTCAGGGCGACCCCAAAACCTCTGGACGCCTGATGGCTTCAAGATCCCCGGGAGCAAGGGGTTTGAGGTCACGGTGGGGACAACTACGAATTATATCCCGAGTACTTCACTTTGTGGATAGTCGGGATGGCCGTTCTCGTGTCATTTTCCCACGTAGTTGCGTCCAGCAGACTATCACAGCAGTTCGCCGAGATTTGGGGCATGCGTGGCAGAAGAAAACGGAAACGCACATTAGACGGTACTACCGGGGGTTTCTGCCACACCACGATGTCGTGGATTTCTGTCGGCACTGTACCGTGTGTGGGAAGACGAAGACCCCACCATAACACCCAGAGCACCGGTCCAACCGACCCCGTGCAAGGACCAAACCATCGAGTGGGCATTGATGTGATTGGACCTCTGTCGGAGACCAGAAATGGAAACCGGTTCATCGTCGTCCTGATTGGCTGTGCCAGTGAGGCAGCAAGATTCCCGTACGATCGCGTCGGAGATAACTTCCGAATGGGTATCACGCTAGGGAGTACCAGTCATTTTACACTCGGATCGGGGCCAAGTTTTTGAGAGTTATTTACTGCGGGAAACGTGTGCACTTCTGGAGATCCGTAAAATATGGACAACACCGTGCCATCCTGAAGGAAACAGTCTGGTAGAACGCACCAAGAGCACCGTAAAGGGGACACTAACTACCCTTGTGAATCGCTATGAAGTGGAACGGTGGGAGGAACACATCCCCCTGTGCATGCTGGCTTATCGTGCGGCTGTACACGAACCGACAAATTTGGCGTCGGCATTTCTATAACTCGGCCGAGACCTTCGACTGCCTTCTGACGCAGACACGCCCGTGGTCCCCGCAGACCTTGTTGGCAGTAACGAGTAGGTCCGATCGCTACACGAACGCCTATTCGCTGCACTGCAAATCGCTCGCGAAAACATTGGACATGCTCAGCAGCACCAAAAGACTCTCTACAACCGCAGAATAAACGGACCTGTGTATGAAGTGGGTGACCATGTTCTTACATCGCCCGAAAGCACCACCGAGTGCATCCGCGAAATTCCACCAGACGTGGCAGGGGCCTTATGTTATTATTATGAAGAGACCAAACAATACATGTCATTCGTAACCCATCTCAGCCACATACGGATGAACAATGCGTACATTACAACCAGTTACAGCCGTCCCCCCAACCGCATAATGACGCCCAGCCGTCAACGTCCCACTACCTGCCACCCGTTAGCCATACGGTTGAGATCAGTACTTCTGACACAAACACCTGAGCACTGAGGACAGTGCTCGGACTCGGGAGGGGAAAATGTAGCGCAGTTGAAACTCGACTGTATCTGCATGCACGTCTATCACATGGGCTTATGTGTGTCTATCCCTCTCTCATTATCCCTATTACAGATACCATGGTCGAGCCACCACGAGCCCCAGACAGGGAAGAGTAGCCGCTTGTACACCCCCCTGATTGAACTTCACCCAGCTTTGTGTCCCCGACTTCCGGTTTCGGTTTCTGTTGAGTACATGTGTGTTGTGCCACTCAACCTGTGCGAATGTGTGCCGTGTGGGTTCATTAATACAAATTTGTATATCTGCACATTTCAGGACTGACATGTTCCGTCGCCATATCGTCTCGAGCGTCGAATGCTGGTGACTTCCTGACATCCCACGCTAAAGTAACGAAAGCGTTTCGGTAATTAGGATGCCCTCAGAACGGGACACTGGAACCTGGAATCCTAGTGGTGCTGGTAGGTGAGCATCAGTGCAATCCACATTTTCGACCAATCGGAGCTGGGCTTGGTGCTGGCCAACAATCTGCCGGCCTTCCGACCAATCAAGTTTGAGTCAGATGTACTGGTCGTGGCCGCACCTATTTCTGCGCTGCAATCCTTTTTGATCGTAGTATTCCCACTAAAATAAGTGCTCGGTTTAGTGATCGGCAACTCCAGCGTACGCTGGTTTGAACAGCCTGGAGGTAAGGTGACGTCATTTTTTGGGTGTTTGGCGGATTCCGGTAATCTTTACGCCTACTGATTCCATCAATCAATNAATTAGGAGCTATCGTCTGGGATTCTGCGGTTGGGCTCATCTTAGAACGTACATTAGGCTCTGATGAACATATTCGGCATGACAACTGGGCTGCAGGGACAGCCTGAGTCGCTTACGATCTGTGAAAAGTCGCGCCGCATGCATGTAGAAACCGAGCAAGCCACCGGAAGATGAAAAACGTTATAACTCGGGCAATTGTGGAGTGTACTTGGAACATGAAGCAACTGCTTCGTGTGCATTGCGATCTCAAGTTGAAATCTTACAGAGCCTTTCGCGAAATTCTCATAGGTCACAAAAAAATCAAAAAGTTGTGGTAATAGTGGTACTCGGCAATTTCCATTCTACGAGCAACGGGTAATCCTGACATCGCCTAAGATCATGTGTAACTATTGAAAGCTCGGCAGGATTATTGGGTTGCTCTTAGTCAGCTTCCAGGCTTGACAAACGATTCGGCTACCCACTGTTCAACAACCAACCTAGCGGTCTGTTCACCGCTGCAACACCTGACGGCCGTAGGCTTCATCAGATGGGTCAACGGACCTCCCTTGACCACACCCTTTCCTCTTCAAATTTGATGTGTGCGTGCATGACCCTACTACGGTAATGCATCGGAACGTTCCAAAATAACTCAGTTTATCCGTGATGTTCTCTGGGGGTCTCAGGTGATTCAGAAGCGACTACCCATGGTATCAATGGTGGGGGCATTGCTTTGAGTGCAAGAGCCCTGCTTGACTAGATTCTTATGAACAGCCTACTGTGTTCGGTGAAACTGACTGGTTCGGTCAAAATCCGCAAGCAGTCAGCGAAAACTCGAAATCTGCCCCTCATTCCTCTTCGTGACCCAGCAAACTGCAGCGATGACACTGTCGAAGGCGCTTAATTTGGAGGAATCTCGAAACTGCTGCAGCCAATCGGGTGCATGGATGTCACTACTCTAGTTGGTGATCTGAATGAGAACAATGGACATGAGTGCGCAATTCACCTGATTTCGAACACCCGGCATAACGTTCAAAACGTTAACAGCTTCACAGGAGGATATCAAATACCGGATCCCCTCCGGAAACCGAAACTTATGAAGCACCCTGCCATGACTGCCTTCCTCTGCCTTGTTTATGTACCAGGGAGAACTCGTTTAGAGTCAAACAAAACGCATCCAGAGCATTTGATAGACGAAGTGTTATCCCCCCCGGGAAACTTAGGAAGCACCCTGCCATGACTGCCTTCCTCTGCCTTGTTTATGTACCAGGGAGAACTCGTTTAGAGTCAAACAAAACGCATCCAGAGCATTTGATAGACGAAGTGTTAAGGGAATGACATGTCGAATGCCGTTCCTATCTTCAAAGAAGGTGTTCTATCTGAACGTAAAAATCATCAAGGTATCCCGCGACGGGAACTATGGGACTATACCTACCTGTTTCGTCGCGAGGATCCGGTCATACGCTGTCACCTTTCAGTCACCTTACGGATAATATCTTCCATCTTGATATCAAATATCTGGTTAGTCGCTATCGTTTCTACTTCGCTCACGGGCATCGTCCTACATAGTCTTACTAGTACTCACTAGTGGCAGATTCGTGGAAATCAAGCACGGTCCTGTTCAGGTTGTGGATGTGCTGACCACATCTCTACCTTATGACAACTTCTTGAAATCTGGAAAGCGTTGCGCGGGTCTGGTGGAAACATTTAATCAGCAATGCTGAGGTATGCCAGATGGGAAAGTTCACTTTTCCTCGGTTGATCAACTCATCACGCCCCCTCCCAAGCTGCTCTAGTTGTGGCGTGTGCTTCGTATTTCAGAGGACCGTTTCCATTGTAGAGCCCTATCCTCCCAGCCTTGTGTCGTTCCGGAGGCTTTTAGTCCGTGATTGGGCAACGAAGCATGAATGTTCTTGCCAGTCACCTCAGTTGCCTTGGTAACTGTCTTCTCGGATAAAGAGAAACCGATCGTTGGTGACCCTGACGGACCTCACTGTGTCACGCAGCCGCTGGTGCTGTTGCATCAGAGCTACCTTCCCTGCGTAGCTTTCACTCTGTCATACCGGACAAGCAGAACCATTCAACGTCACTGAACTGGTTGAGCCATCGCCTTCAACGCGTTGCCCCAACTCAATTATTTTCCCTAGCCATCTGGAACCACTTCATTTCGGAGGAAAGTGAACTGACTAACCGACTTCTTGAGCACTGCCACAAATACAGAAAGTCGACAGTTATTATCTTAGGTATAAAAGCATCGTTCGACTCAGTCGACCGCGCTGTATTGTTGGGATGTCTCTCCTTCAAAGATGTACCAAACGCCTTTATCACAATTCTCCATTTTTTGTACTCTAGCATAAATGGGTGCGTGAAGGACTACGGAGAGTATTCTCTTTAGTTTATTGCCAAATGTGGTACCCGTCAGGGCCTCTCTTTGTCACTTCCTCTCCCCAGCTTCGTGACTTTGGTAGTTGTTTAGGAAACATTCGCTGCGTCATCTGCCTGACCTGACCACTGACCGGAAGGTCCGTGGTTCGAACCTGACCTCTGCATCTCGACTTATCCTGTGTCCGAAGGCCAGCCGCTCCTAGTGAGGGAACATCACGTCAATAGGACGGATGTGTCATGTGCGGGTTACGGACTGAACTAACACATGCATTGATTGGTCAAACTGTCAGCCAGTCGGGTTCGAGCATCTGTATCTCGACGTTTCTCGCCCCCCCCCCTCACGGAGATTCTAGCGCGGCCTTGTGGGACATTCTGTGGTGACCCTGTAAATGAGATTGTAATGATCTTTCTTTTTCTCTATAAAGAGCTATGTGAAGCTAACATGTCTTTTAATATACCATAATGGGCTGAGCGGGAAGCCAAATGCGAATACAGAGTTGCACCACCGTTCAACAAGTCGGAACATCCTCTCTAGGCTTGGGCAACCTGGCAGCATCCCAGCCCTCGTGCTTCCTTCGGGTGGTATGGCAGCTAGGCGCCGAAAGGGTGTTACAGCTGAACGAAGTGGACTGGATTTTGGGGTTTGAAAATAGACTTCGAAGTTTTTGGGGTTGTTACTGAAGCCGGATGTACAGAAGCTGCAGCTGAGTGGTGTACGGTGAGCAAAGTGGTCAATCTTACTGCTGGGACCTGCGGAGAGAATATTCAAATTTGAGTTGGAAGAGGACAAACGTTAAAGGACGAAGGCGTCAGCAGAAGCATGTTTTCGCCTGCCCACCCTGCTGTATGCAGCAATTCAGCTAACCCGGCTGGCGACACCACGTGACGGCCGATGTAGCATCAGAATATTGTTAGTTAAAAGTGTCATGGTTATGCGTGGGCTGGAATACTGCCAGGGCACCCAGACCCGGACATTAGGATGATTAGAGTTTTCGACCAAAGCCTTTGGCTCTAGACTGACTGCAAGGTAGCGGTATTTTGCGGAAAATGCAAGTGCATTACCATTTTTATAGAACTAGTCGCCACACACCTAATCCCCAACGTGGAGGGCCAGGAGAATATGTTAAATAGACCTCTTACCATTGACCAACCTGGTTTGAGAGACTCTGTGAATGTCGGGTGGTCACTACCCAGCATAGCTGAATGGGTTACGACAGCGCACAAACCGTCATACCACAGTACGGTCCAGCCTCTTCGCGACGAACATGTTCGCTTACTTCGTCATTTTAAAGTACTGTAGGACGCAAGTTATTTAAGGTGGTTTCCCACCACAGGCACCGAAGTAATTCAGTCGCCTCATCTCCTTACCAGGAAATGCAACAACCAGACCTCGCGTCTTGGTTTTCGGGCAACCTCAGGTACATCTCTGACTGCCACAACGCACCTGCGAATGCATTTCCGTGGATCGTTGCCATCAGTGGTTGATCAACCGTTAGCCTAAAACAGTCGACGGGTTCGCGATAGGACGTTTTGGAGATCCAACCTGCCTGGCATTTCACGTCTGCTCATGTGCACCCTACGCTGTTCTTGAAAGCTAAGGGCGTGACACTGATACATCGTTTGCATCGCCACTTCCATTGACGCTCAGTAGCGTGCAACTTCTGTGCGGTTTATCACACTGTCCTCTCTACACCCGTCTGGCTTTTTACCCGATTCTCCGCATTGCCTAGCGTCACGTGACATGCAGGTGACATTACAATTATCTTATATGTCAACGCTGCAGCACTCACTCTCAACTAACGATTTAGACCAATTCACAAGCCATCAGTCCGCCCCAACTTGTGTCAAGGTGGCACTGATGAGCTGGAGCTTTGTCACACACAGCGAAGGTTTTGCCACACATTGCTTTCTCTTGGGAAACTTTTTGCACCGAAAAGATCAGTCATGTGGAACTGTTCAATAAAAAACGGAGGCGGCTTAGAAATCGCCGAGCACTCTGTGCATACGCGATTGGGCGATTTCGGGCGTACAGCGAACTGTCATTGTTTTCCCCGTTCAGGATGAGGCCTAACAGTGCTGCTGTGTGCTTGTTTGTACTTGGTAGTTTACGATTCCTGTTCAGTGTCGCGTTATCTTTGTTTGTACCTCGCAGATCTTGTGTTGTCCGGAATTGTGTCCTCTACCGTTTTCCACTACTGTTCTACTTCCAGTTCGATTCGGAAAATGTCTCCACTAGTTCCTTCCTTTCGACCTTTGCTCGGTCGTTTGTTGTTGCCTCGTGGGGTAGCTCGTTTCAGTTCAAGCGGTAAAACTGATTGAATTTCATCCCGATCTTCCCTAGTGCACACTTACGAGCACATTTTGGTGGACAAGAAAGGAGCTGGAGCCTCTGTTGGTTTTATTCAACTAAACCGACCAAAGGCACTGAACGCTCTCTGCGATGGACTGATTCGTGAACTTTCCGAGGCCTTGGATAAATTCGAATGTGATAATCAGGTCAAGACCGTTGTACTTACTGGTAGTAATAAGGCCTTTGCTGGTAAGTCGTGTCTAATTGTTCTTAATCTCACCCTGTCACCATACTTTCTTTGGACTTTGTGGTACATGTCAGGCTTCGAGAGCTCATTAGAATTCGTGTACAGCAATGTACACAAATGTGAATTTAAATGGCAGTCATACTGTGATTCAGAACAAGAATGTTCATCATGACATGAAGCTTGAGCGGTTCGAATGGCATGTCACCCTTCTTTAGTAGGTATGAAGTTCCGAGACCTAGCGCTTCATGTGATTACTCAGAAATGAAGCAAGCCCTTCANCGCTTCATGTGATTACTCAGAAATGAAGCCAGCTTGGCCTGTACGTCGCACCATGCTCTTAGAGAATTGCAATCCGCCAACCAGATACGAAACCACTTTCCACTGGTGTGAGCATGTCGGCAAACCTTTGACTGTTTTTTACTACTCATTAAAACTTGAGGTTGAACACGTAATGATATGGTCTCTAGAGCAATGAGTGGCCTACGAATTGACAGTCGGCGAACACTTTTTGGTTTACCGTACTCTGAATATTGCGGTTAGCGCATCGTTTATTTCGCGAGAATCGGCCCACTGAGGAAGCATATCCACATCTTCGAGGACTTTCCATACACGAAATTGAATGATAGCAGGTGAAGGAACTACAGGCGGTTCGGTTTCCACAACAGTGTATGGTAAAGAGTTGGGGCTTATGAGAGACTGGGAATACAGAGAGTGCTGTGGACTTTCAAACTTTGGTCGTTTGGAGGAAATTGAGAAGAAGCCAGCTCGAAAGCTGGAGGTGATAAATTGGACGCACAAACGCCATTTCTGACTTATTGAAGAGGTTTTAACGCTTTGTTGACTGGAAAGGAACTTGTTTTTGTTTTCAAGAAATAATGTAGCACTGAGGCTAATGGTCTTTGAATTGGGCACAGTTAAGAACTGGGTGGAGGGGACCCGACTCGTACATCGTAGATAGCTCATAAACCTGGTAGTTGGCTCACTGTAACTTAAAGAAATTATACCGTCAAACTCGTAGAAGTCTTGTATGTGAGACGCAAGCCCTTCACTCACGAGGTACGGAAATATAAATCGCAGGAACACTTGTGTGTTTCATAAGATTCACTCTGACATTCTTTAAGTGCTACATTAGTCCGGTCCATCAATCGCTATCCAGCACCTCACCTCCCATGTTTTCACTATTAGGACTTTTAGTCTAGTCGTATCACCGACACACAATTTCCACTAGTTTCCCTTGTTATTCTTTTGAGGGTGGTGCCTCTGCCTACAAATACTCCTTATCTGCTCCGATTTGTCACTGATGAAAGGAGGCGAGATGGCTCAAATGGTTAGAGCGCGAATTTACTGACTAGAAGGTCCGTGGTTCAAACCCAATCTCTGCATCTTGACTACTCCTATCCAGGCTTGGGTAACTTGGTCTTATCTCAGCCATCGTGTTTCTTTCGGATGGGTTGGTAGCTAGGCACCGAAGAGACGTTACAGCTGAACGGTCATTACTATTTGCAAGAATGGTGGGTGTCAGTGGCGCTCATGCTGCCATTTTCTTTTCAGATTGTTTGATTGATCGCATGGAAATGTAGATACTTAAAAATGCTCGCGATAGGCCTGCACAAGGTCGCCTCCATCACCCACTGTTTTCTCTTCAATCACCCTAAGGCTTTAAATATAATTTGGTGCACTTTGTGATTCTGTGGCAGTCAAGTATCAGTGTCAACATCAAATGTCCCTCTCTTTGACGATGTTGGTGATGATGATGATCTACGCCACAAACCTCTTTCCTGAGCTCTTGTACTCCTCCTTTTCAAATGTTTTTGTTTTGTCTTGAATTCAACGTCCGCCGATGCGATGAATGTTTCCGTTGCGTTTATCGATCACTGAGAGGCGATGACGAACCTTAACTGAGAACATGTACTTCAGTGTGTCCTCACTGAGGAAGTTCGAGTTTTCTCGAATTCGACGCACACAGGAGTGAGGAGCTCTCATTCTATTCGTATGCAGGTCCTGAAGACCGTAAGCCTAGGTTCTTTTCGGTTCCCAACCATCTTACCTCTGACTGGATCTCTAACCAGAGTGATACCGCTCAAATCCTTGATCTTTTCTTCTTTACTCTACCGCAACATACTTTGTCCTTCGTTCTTCGGATCACCGTCTTATTAATTTTCAAACACGGCTTTCCCAAGACCTAAACTTCCCTTTTATCATATTCTGGTGCCTGGGATGGTATGCGTCATTTTCTTGAGAGTTGCTCAAAAGTATCCTTCATTTTTTGGCATTAAACACTTCACTCCTCGTTTTGTAAGCCACCGAAGCGTCAGTTCCCCCGAATGGTTCTACCTTGCTTGTATGCGCGGCATCGAAGAAGTTCAAAAATTTTGCAGGCACCTGCTGATGCGCTCGCCTGTGACCAGCAGAATCAAAGATTGATTCACTTCAAAGAATTCAGCTCAGATATGGGAGGCGCCAACCGAAAGTTGACGATTTCGGAGTTTGGCTAATGCAGGTTTCGTTTCTGCAACGACTGCGGTTAGACTTCCTGCTTAAGCGATAGCTTCTATCCTGAATTCCTGTAGTGTGAATGGTTCCGAGATTTTAAAGACCTGCATTCAGATCACATGTTTTAAAGGTCCTTTGCCTGTTGCCGGTAAGTCAACACTAAAAATGAGAATTGTTCGACTCGAGTTTCACTCGGCTCATCAACCGTGTATATTTCTCGCCGTGTTGGGATTTGAACCCCGGATACTTGGCATACGAGGCAAGCGTGTTACCGCTACCACCCAGCTCAGGCTAGACGCTCCTGATTGGACACAGTGGTCTCAGGATGGCCTGAAGGTCTGTGGTTCGAACTCAATTTCTCCTGTCTAGGCTTCCTTCGGGTGGCATGACAGTTAGACACCGAAAGGGTACCACAGCTAAACCATTTATTTTGGGATTCAAAGTCTGGCACTGCTGGCAGATTCCACTAAGAGCGAAAGCGGAGTCCATTGCTTTTTCCTCTTGGTATGGAGTAAGCAGAATAACTGCTTTGGTCAGGAGATGGACGGTTTGAACGATAGTGATATGAATGTAGATTACCGATGTCTCCACTTACTATAGATATTAAACGAGGGCGTATGACGGTACTGTAATCTTTCATGCATTTTTCAGGCTCGTAACATTTCCTTGACTGGACATTGACTTGCCGTAGTTGATGGTGTCACGGCACAAATCCTCGAATGTTCGACTTGGTTCCTGTTACATTTAGATCTTGTAAGCTTTAGGTGCGTTTTACATATGAGCTAAGATGTTTATGTTGCTTCATCTTTACGCTTCCCGGATTCACACTGATTACAACATTTCAGGTAGTTTTGTTGTGCTAAGTGATATCTCGCTCTCTACTCATCCGACAGCCGGGGCAGATATCAAAGAGATGTGTGGCCTGACCTACCCCCACGTTTACGGCAATGATCTCCTGGTCGATTGGGATCGCGTCGCTCTGACCCGGAAGCCTATCATTGCCGCTGTGTGTGGTTACGCTCTGGGTGGTGGTTGTGAATTGGCTATGATGTGTGACATCATCTACGCAAGTGACACAGCTAAATTCGGGCAACCGGAGATCAAACTGGGCACAATCCCTGGAGCTGGTGGAACACAACGGCTTGTGCGTGCGGTTGGTAAATCTCGGGCAATGGAACTCATTCTCAGCGGTAAGAGAAGTTCCCCGTGACAAAAAGATTTAGGTCCACTTTTTTCAATTTCAAAATACGGTACTTTCCCAATATGAGCGACGTTTGGAGGTCGCTAAGATGTCTTTTGCATGTTTGAAGGTCAAAACGAACCTTGGTCAGCTGTCTTTAGATAAACGTCCATACCAACCAAACCCAAACCTCGCAGGTGAAACAATCGGTGTGGTAGAAGTCCGCTTACCTGGGCAACTGCATAAGTCCCGGTGGACTGGCGAAAGACGAAATCACCCGCTGAATTTAGAAGGAGAGTCGGCGTTTACTAACCGACATCTATGGCGCCGTCGTGAGTCAACTCTTGACAAAAAGTTGAGTGTGCAATGTCGCCATCCTACTTCGGGGATCAGAAACGTGGCCGCTGCGCGTGGAGGACCTCTGATAGTTTACTGTGTTTGGTTGTCCGTGCTACCGAAGCATTGTGTGAGTTTGGTGGAAACGCCAAATCAGTGATGCGCTGAAGTACACCAGACGATTTTTGGGAACCTTCATTCTCGATAGATCGGCTGGTCACCTTGCAAAGTTTGCGCTGGTTAGGCCGTGAGCTTCGTAGGCCAGAGGACTGCTTGTCTTATAGAACCCTATCCTCCCAGCCTTGTGTCGGATGGAGACAATCCGGGGCGGTCAGTCCATGACCATTCAACGAAGCATGAAGGTTTCGACAAATACACTTATTCGCCTGTCTATTATACTTTACGAGAAACCCACCTGCAACCCAGCTGAATCTCATTTATGGTGTTCTCAAGCAGCTGAATGTGTTGCACCAGGCCGCCTCATGTTTCAGTTGGTACGATGTTCGAGATATCGCGATACATGTATGTTCGTAATGCACTGCTACCACTATTCGACAGCCCACGACCGGTTTCGCCCTTCTTGGGACTCATCAGGTAGGCGCAGTCTCCGGGTTTTCGTCAACCTTATGTTCTAATTGAACCCAAATGGCACAGATTTGTACAAACATTTGTCGTCGATACATGGATTCGCCCATCGCCTTCAAAGTGTTACTTTCATTCACTTATTCTCCTTACCTTGAGTGAACGATGCTCTGTCAGTTGGAACCACAAAATTTCGATGCACGGTTTGTGTGATGAAAAACGGAACCGAAACTGAACTCAGTCGAATTTTCGGCAGGTAAACGAGCTGCATCTTTGCCGAGAATCCGAGAAGCACCGTACATCTGGAGTCATCACCAGTGCTGTGCACTCTGCTACTGAATAATGAATGGTTCTACATCCTGTTCATTTGAGGCTTAATCCTACCGCTGATCAGCTGCTCGTGGTCCAGCGGTTTCCTGTTCAGCTGCTAGCCAAGAGGTGGCCGGTTCGGAATCTCCGTAGATGCGCACTACTGGTGATTCCAAACAAGGATGTGCGGTACTTCTAGTCTTTTACGTGGCTTGCAGCACGAAATGCTGAGTGAAGTTCCCAAATTTCACCTCATCAACAGAAATCCATTTGTTTGTGATCGTTTCCAGAAAAGTCACTGGAAGTCCGCGTCAGATATATCGATTGTGCTTGATATCTTCCATTCATTTGCACGCAACACAGTTCTCAGCTTTTCCCGTAACAATAGAATGAACTAAAGTGATATCTGCTTGCCATACTTAGGTTTTCGTGAATTTCTGAGAAACGCCCGGTGTACAGAAACACGACAAACGGTTGCAGCAAAGTTATATAGGGACACACCTGCATGCTTCTTTACGGTAACCGATTTCGTGTGGTTCTGTCGAATTCCTGTACTTCTTGTTTCCATAGTTACTAGTAGATAGAAGAGTCGCGAAAGTAAAACTATCGAAGTTGTGCCAGAACCGCAGGGTGTTCACATAGTTTCATCGTGATATGTATCACAGTCCATCGGCACGTATAGAACCTGCGTGTGTCTGGCTAGCCAACCGATGTGTTATCTACCCAAACTCGAATGAGTACCGCATAAGCGGATGCCTGTATGCCGAAGGTGTACCCCCACTAATGCTCCTCTTATTAAAGACCGCCATCCAAAGGGCATCCCCACAACTTCCATTGCAAGATGGAAGCCCCCATAAAGTTTACCCTCACAAAAGCCGCCGAACCATGCAATACACGTACTTAATCTAGCCAAATTCAGCGCACACTAACGCTTTTAGAAAATCTTTAGTTCACCATACTGTCAGTGAGTCTATTATACCATCCATTTTTCTTTTGTTCCTATATCTCCGGAACACCGGTTCTATTTGTGTTGTATTCGGCAGGTGGCTCAGTGGTAAGATCGCAAATTTATTGACCGGAAGGTCCGTGGTTCAAAACCGACCTGCGCCTCTCGACCTCTTCTGTCTAGGCTTGGGCAACTTGGCAGTATACCAGCCCTGGTGCTTTCTTCTGGTTGCATGGCAGTTTGGTACCGAAAGGGTGCTACAGCTGAAAGTATTCGGAAGAAGTAAATAGGCATTTAATTGTAGGCCGTAGGTTGACTTGTACTGTTTCCACAATTCATCCATGTGAGACCTACTACCGTCCGACCAGTTGTTGACCACCTAACCTTTCGGCCACGAGCAGTTGAACAATGGTGTGAATAGCTCTCACTTGGACAGGGTATAGCGCCACTAGTCTTTCAGCTGCAGAAGCCACATCACGTGGTCACCGGTTTTCTGATTGGCCCATACTTCTCTGAACCGCTNCAAGCACAATGGATTCTTAGGTTTCGAGTGACCAGGATTGGGGTAGACGATGGGTTAAGAGATGACAAGGTGAGGGACGTCATTTACACACTGGACGCTTGTTTTCATAGTAAGCGACATTCTGACAACGGTGATTTAGACCGAACAAACAGGGCCGCTACTGTCTGTCCTCTCATTTATACTGTAGCTGTACTTACAGTTTCTGGTGTGCAACTGACGTGGCTATATCATACCTCTAATGCACAACCGATGTTGACCAGTAAAGGACTAGTTTAGGCAACTAGCGAGGAGATGGGCTAGGTTGTCAGACGCTCCTTTGGTGCGCTACACTGAATGCTGGTGTGGTTATGCAGTATTCCCTTCTGAGAAGAGGCGCTATCGTGAGAAGTTCACAGCGGCAATCCCCATCAGTCAGCAGCCTGTTTTCAGGAGACGGAAAGCAACTCTCCCCTTACCTCTCTACGAGGTTGGTACTTGGTCAATTTGGAACCCTAAAGATTTGGTTGAATCGATGGGGTGCACTTTTGGCTGTTTCTGTGAGACTGCGCCAAGTCCTGTACACATCATTTTCCCAGATGATCCCACCTTCATGTGACACAGACCATATCGGGGCACATATGTGACTGGTGAGCTGGACCAGATAATTCCATGCGGAGACGTTAAACTAATTAACAGACTGGGATGTATTTTATGTGAAATTGATATTTCCGGATCACCCTTCGACAGAATGAAAAAGTGTACTTGACTTTTCCTGGGGGGGGGGAGGCGCAAACCAGGTTTCAACTGACGAGAATTACTGACTTGTACTCTCTAGTGGGGTGTGACTTCCCGTTCGGAGAGATTACCATCATATGAAAACCACCAACGTGGGCTCGTGGATGTCCTTCATACCCCTAAATGATGCCTTATCCACTGCATTTATGCATGTAAAGGCCGCAAGTTTACAAGTCCTGAAGGTCTAGCGACACGGGCTTTTTTCTGCGAAACCAAACCTATACTTAAGTCAGCTTATTCAAATCCAGGAACACAAAGGCGCGAACCAGTATGCTAACGGAGTTCATTTTTATTATTTGTGCCTCAAGTACGCTGCCGATGGTCAATATCCCTGAGTAGCTAAGTCTCTTTCCCTCATTATCGACTCCCTTGCTTGTCACTGAGTCGTTTTCTTGTTTGGACACATTTTCTAGGACCTTAGGATCGTCCTGCATCATGACGGTCTGCTTTATTCACGTGTTTTTCTCTTCTGTTCATTCTCTCAGGCGACATGATCGATGCCAAGGAAGCTGTCGCTTCCGGTCTCGTCAGTCGAGTCTTCCCCACAGACGAGGTGGTCCCGAAGGCAATCGAACTCGCTGAGAAAATCGGTCGATACTCTGGTCTGGCTACCAAAGCTGCCAAGGAGGCCATAAATGCTGGTACATCTTCCCACATTTGCTGTCCTTATTTTTCGTATGGAGTGGCTTTTCTTGGTCTCATTCATATACACATTACGTGAGAGTTTACCGGTTTAGACAAGAATATCATGGTTAACGGGGGCGAGATGGACCAAGTGGTTAGAGCGCAAATTCACTGACCGGCAGGTGTTCGACCCCGCCCTCTGCCCCTCGCCGTCCCCTGCCTAGGCTTGGGCGACCTGCCAGTATCCCAGTCCTCGTGCCTCTGTGGCATGGCAGCTAGGCACCGAAAGAGTGCTACAGCTGAACGGTATATCATAGCCAACGCTCACTACCCAGGACCAGGCCTGAAGTGCTACGCACAATCTCGCGTGGTTGCTTGACAGTTTAGGTCGAATTCGAGCTTGAGTTCACCCCGAGTCCACCGGTTTCTCTCCAACCTGATTTTGTGGTCATGCAAGACTTGTTCTCAGTTTCTGTCACTTCAGATTTCTCCCAGATCGTACATGAATGCCTGTGGCTTTCCTCAGAACTGACTCCGTTGGATTGTGAACACTTTTCGGTGACCCGTGGTTTGGTATGTGCCTCACACTACCACGAAACGGGGTATGGTTGGACCGGTATCTCGTGCTTTCATATGAGCCTGTCGGAGTGGTAGGCATATTAGTCCGTCTTGTCTAGATAAATATACTACTATCATCCACATTGGGAAGGCTAGCGCGATCTTTACCAATCTGTGGCATCTTTAGTGTAGGTGCAACATTGACCTATCTGTCTGGGGTCGACCTTACAATGCCACAGTGTTCCACATACTGTTGTGAGGTTTAGAAACCTGATCCCTGCTACCTGGAGGCGTTAAAAGACCTTCGGATATGGCCCAGTCACGCGTTCACACATTTAGGCTATTGCCTTTAATGTGTAGCTTCCACTGTCCATCCTCCATCAGTAACAAAGCTCATTATTGTGGGGGAAAGTCTGGTTTTCCCTGGCATCGAACGTCAAGGTCGGGACGGGGTTTCAGCCCTCTACCCACTTGATCACAACCACATAACTAAGGTTGCTGTACACCTGTCTCTTTCTGCTTGACTGTAGCTCGGTCCGCGCATACTTTGAAGGTGGGGTGGTACAAGGTATGTTGCTTGCGTGGAACTCTGATATTTTTTCGGCGCGATGCGCGCCTCCTGATCGTCGTCTGTTCGTACTCTCTTCCGTCCATTCAGTTGACGACTTCAACGAACCTTTTTTCATCCTCTGCTTTCTCAGTTTAGGGGTACGTTTGTTCGACAGACCGTGCAACCTTCGGGTGGTATGGCAGTTAGGCTCTGAAGGGATGCTACAGCTGAACGCCTTTTTTCCTGCCAAGTGATTTAGCGTCAAACACGAACTAAGTAGTTACAAGCCATTAGGCGGGAAAGCACGGGGTTTTTAAAAATTGAACATTCTCACGCATCCTCCTGAACTTTCCTGGACATTCATTGTCTATTAAACAATAGTAAACAAACACTGCAAAGCGGTTCCACAATTTCCTTGATAAACTTCACCTTTCATCAGATACGGACAGTGGAGCTTGGACACCAGACCATAGGATGCTCGCATGCTTCATTATTCGTATACATTGTTACACACCTTTCCCCTTTAATGGTCGCGTGCATGCCACCGACGTTCCATTTGTTCTCTTGTAAACTAGAGTGCCCAGTGCGCGAGCCTTCCTCAAGGATCTCTGGTGGTTCCTATCCATTCAAGGGGTTTGTGATCGGTCTTGACGTGAAACCTTTGTCCCACCAAGCATAGCCTCCATTTATCCAGGGCCAAGTCGGTCACTAAACATTCCTTCCTAATGGTTGAGTACTTCCGTTCACTGTTAGTCACGACACAACTGGCATCAGCAGAGTGGTCATGCATTACATCGCGGCCAACCACAGGGTACCAAGTATGTTCCTAATGGATCAGGGGCCGTAATTTGAGAGTGAGGAGTTCAGGAGTTGCTTGCAGAAGCTGGACATCAACCGGCTAAGGGCGGCACCCTACAATTCGTAAACAAGCGGGCTAACTGAACGGTCAAGGAGTGAGTGGCGGCCAAAGGAGGGGACTGGGAAGTGGACTTGCCAATGGAGTTGTTAGCACATTGTACGTTGGTCTAGCCAACCACAGGCAAGTTCCATTCGTTTTGGTGTACGATCGAATCCACGCCTTCCAATTGGTCAGGAACTTGGGTTTTGGCCGATAGTGCGCCTGTCTTCGGAAAGGATTAGACAGAGAACGGTAGGTGTGCAGACACGAGCATTCTCTATAGGTGCGCAGCTGAAACAGAAGGATCATCAGAATCCTGGGGTCGCGGAATTTGGACAGTCGTTGGTAAGGCCCGTTTGTTGTTACCGACTGTCGGGGAGACGTGTATACACTTCAGAACGATCGAGGACCGGAAAGGGTAAACGGTACGCAGCTTCGGAACTGGCATGATACACCCGAAGAGGTGCCGACCAGACGATCTGCTGAGGTCGACCTAACTGGTGCAAAGGAGCATCGGTGGCATGAACGCGACCTCTGAATGAGAAAGCTGTGTATACGAAGGTGTATGCGAAAGATGAAGCACGCGAGTAGTCTATGGCCTGATGTCCAAGCTCCGCCCTTGTATGTGATGAATGGTGAATTTGGAATGCCCGGTGTGGGTTCAAACGACGGACCTTTCGGTCAGTGAGTTCGCGCCTTGAACACGGAGTTATGGAACAGCATGTGCAATGGAAGTTGGTTAATAACTTCGGGCTTGCCGTATTTAGTTGCATGATGTGCGGTGGCTGCCCTTACCTGGTATCCGCCCAGTGGATTTGAATATACTCTAAGGGAGTCCTCAGCAGACAAGTCCATTTAACATGCTCGAGTTCGAATATTCAAGTTCAGTCTAATTGCTAGTCCACACTTTATCTGACCACTATGTATTGTTCTTGGATTTTCAGCCTACAACATGACGCTCTCGGAAGGTCTTCGGTTCGAGAAGCGTCTATTCCATGCCTCCTTCTCTACGGTACGTCTGTTTATTGGTGCTGTATAACCTATCCATCCGTTCTTATGTGTTCCGAAAAGCATACTGTGCTACTAGTTTCATGATATCACCGTTCCACTACTTGGTGCCTAAAATGCTCTTGAATGCACCGCCTTTAGTACGAGCAAGGGCAGGTTATGCACACAGATGGTTGCTTCAGTTCGGTTCGAATGGGCTTCTGCGTTTTGACAGACTGGTCGACAGAGAGAAAGACAAGACAGTCGTACGGGATATTCTACTGCGTTTTGACAGACTGGTCGACGGAGAGAAAGACAAGACAGTCGTACGGGAACAGTAATGGATATTCGCCTGGAGTTCACTAGCATTGTGTTTAGTTCACAAGTTGGGCTCAGGCTTAGGAAAGGTGTATACAGTTGGAAGAACCATTTCTTCTCCAATCCGTGAACGTAACATCCAGACGAGCTTCGAGGCGATCCAAATACCCTCCTCATTCGTGCGATGATTTGGCCTTAACGAGAGACTCAACCGAATTTTTTGCTTATGCTAGTCTTCAGTTGACTGTGCTACACAAGGCCGGTTCATTTTACTTTTGGTAAGATATTCCAGATACCGTAATACTTTGTCTGGATGTTTCCACCAAATGAGTCTGCAAATGGAAGCACACAAGACATAAAGTTGACGGAAACTCGGGGACTGCACCCATCGGATGAGTCCGAAGGAGGCGAGACCGGTTTTGAGCTGTCGAGGTGTTTTCAGACACGTTATGAGTAACGTGTTTCGTGTAGAATACCCCTTGTTTGGTTTTCTTCATTCGTTGGTTACACTAGTCGCAAGCGAGTCTCAACGGAGTTGAGCATATGTCAGATCAGTGTCGATAAGTTCTCCTGAAGACCTCGTTTTCACTCATAGTCTATCATCCAGTCGGTTAGGTCGTCTTTAATCCATGTGCCTTTTTGGATGCATGTGTTCTTCCAACCTTATGGAAGTGTTGCACCCGTCTTGAGCGATTTCCTCCAGGACCGATTAGCGTGTTCAGCCTCCTCAGCCACAACCCTACGGTCAATTACCAGTGAATGAGAGTTTCATGGAAGTTATTGCCACGACTTCCGCGCGGCTTCTGCATTCAGGATATATTTGTCACATCAAAGGCATCGTTTGATATCAAGATATCGTCAGACCCCGGAAAATTCAGATCGGTTCGGCTCAGCTCATCTTGATTTAGACTCATTGGAAGGGCGTAGGGTGTATGACTGGCATGGGGCGAGATCGAACAGTTATAACTACTGACCGGAAGGTCCATGGTTCGAACCCGACCTCTGCCTCTCGACTTCCCCTGTCTAGGCTTGGGCAACCTGGCAGTATCCCAGCCCTCGTGCCTCCATGTAACGTGGCAGCTCACACACTTGACCGCGTGATCATACCCACACAGACTGTGTTCAACCTCTTACCTGAATGTGACTTGTGGTTCCGATCACCTGTCCAAACTCGTGAACGCGAATTTGTCCACAAACATTTTGTCTTTTTCACTTAACCGGGTAATCTCCCTGGGAGTTTGGATATTTTTCTACGGACGAACAGTTATAACTACTGACCGGAAGGTCCATGGTTCGAACCCGACCTCTGCCTCTCGACTTCCCCTGTCTAGGCTTGGTCAACCTGGCAGTATCCCAGCCCTCGTGCAACCTTCGGGTGGCGTGGTAGTTAGGCACCGAAGGGTGCTACAGCTGAGCGACACCCTCGATAGTCGTGCTCTCGAAAAATAGCAAATAATTAAGAATTGATTTGGCTTATCTCCACACATTGTTTACAATTACCCCGTTTGATAACCTTGAAGTGTTCTTGATTCTAACGAGCTACTAACCTAGACACTGGACTACTTGTTTGAAACTCGAAACGTTCTGTGGCCGAGCAGTTGAGTGTTCAAACTCCTTGCCGGAAGATCGCGAGTTGGAGACTCCCTGGAGTTTTGTGAGGACTCCCAGATGTCGTCACTCAAGAAGCCAGGGGTATAAGGTCATAGAGGAGTGAACTAAGTGTGTATGGGATAACTGGTCCATCCTGTTTATGTGTCAGCCATCTACTAACCATCCAGTCGTGGCCTATTGGTACGGCCTTCAACCGGCAACCGAATCTCCCGGAAAGATTCTAGAGATGTGCTTCACCACTAAATCCGGACAAAACATTTGCACAGGGTTTCATCATAGTTTGACTTTGGGACTTGTTCACGCCAGTTTTGAAACACCTGTGACCAATCAGCCTTTTTGTACTAACTAGCCACCAATCTTCCCTGACGTTCTGATGCTTACGGGGCTGTGGGCGTGCAATTAGATCAGCGACTGTCAGGAATTTGGTTTGGGTAGACCAGTTTCAGGCTGTCTCCCTCTCAGACCGCAATTTCAGGTAGTTGCCAACCTGGGTTCGCCACATCCCGCGCCTTCTTTCGGTTGCTGCCAATTGAAACTAAACGAGCTTTGACCCCTAATTGAACTGTCCGGTTGAATAACTTGTATTTCTTTCCTTCGGGGCGAGATGGTCCGATTGGTTAGAGCGCTAATTTACTGACCGGAAGGTCCATAATTCGAACCCGACGTCTGCCTCTCGAATTCCCCTGTCTAGGTTCGGGCAACCTGGCAGTATCCCAACCCTCGTGCTTTCTTCGGGTAGCATGGCAGCTAGGCACCGGAAGGGTATTACAGCTGAGCGACTTATTTATTTTTCCTTCCTTTCTCCTCTCGTTTTCTTTTCACTGTTCTTCAGCCCGGAATGTCGTATTCCCCCATCTGTGGTGTGTGAGCGGTCTTTTTTGTCTCTCTGTCATTCTCTCTTCCCTTTTCCTCCTCTTTCAGAATGACTGTAAAGAGGGAATGACCGCGTTCACTGAAAAACGTGAAGCGAAGTTCACTGACACCTAGATGCGGAGTTGCCCTACCCGCTGTCGCCCCACAACCTCCGCACAGTCAGGTTGTGACGATATTTGATCTGACATGCTTTCCTCCCCTCATTATTTTATTTTCGTGATTTTTACACATTTTCTACTTCACTCACGGTTAGCGCTGTTAATATGAGGAACTTTCCTAACAATCTGTCCTCTTCATAACACGGTTTATAGCTGAATATGGCCTTGCAAACTCGTGAGGTTTGATGAACCGTACAATGCTCTCAGGTGATATGTCACACCATTTCCGTGCATCTCGGTGGAAGCACGAAGGCTGAGATACCGTTGGATTGCCCAGACACATACGGGAACCATCCCAAGCCTCGTTTGAACCGTGGACCTTTTGGTTAGTAGCTTTGTACGGAGCTTTCTTTCACTAGACTCCCACATCATGGTTATTGTCCACTTTGGCGCTGGTGTGGTCCGCACTGCCAGTAAACAACGGCCGCCTGAGAAACTGTTGAAGAACCAATCAGGCGAGTTGGAACAGCCAGTGCTAGGTTCGGAATGGCATCCGCGGATGGTTTAGTTTGACAGAAACGTCGTGATTTTGGTTAAGATTGGAGTTTCCGGAACCAACCGAAACCATTCCTTGTTCGATCTCCGAAAGTACCATTTTAAACGAAAACAGGAACCTTCTGGACTTCTAAATAACATCGGATCAGCGTCCAGTACCTCGATATTGTCATGGTGGACCTTTTGTTTTTGGTGCACTGTGGCCCTAAGTTTCCTATACCAGTTTGGAATACAGACAGCGCACATTGAATGTGTATCGGACGAACCAAGGGTGCGAGACAAACGGCCAGGTAAGAACAGGTGTCAGAGTGAAGAACAGATGTTGCTAACCAGCTTAGCGAATATAAGGGCTGTTCTGTCATGTACACAACGCGTGATACAGTCTTTGGACCGTGCTAGTTTGCACAGGCTAACATTTAGTTTCAACCGGATCGCGAATAAGTCACTTCTTGTAACAAGTACTCAGTATCCGGCACGTTCATTCGAGACGGAGTCAAGCGTTCCATCATACTAAGCTGTTTAGAGCACTTAGAAGCATTCTTCATAATGGGACCGGTGGATTTTGTAAACACGAGTGTTTCCTGAGAAAACACGAGTATGTTTTGTGTTTTTTCGGCCACCCGGCCGGGAAAATTTCACTTTGTCCATTCCGGCTTACGTTGTTTCGTTGCAGATGTGCACTCTATACAGAATTTAGTTTTTGGGTTGCATGTCCACGAATGCCACTAGAAGGGAGCACGAGGGCTTGGATACTGCCAAGTTGCCCAAGCCTAGACAGCGGAGGTCGAGTTCGAACGACGGACCTTCCGATCAGTAAATTCGCGGTCTGATCACTGATCAAAAGAGAATCCTACTTGCGCGGAACAAATAGTAGGCTCACTCATTTCCAGATGTGCGCCGCATCTGCAACATGGCGTTGAACTCTCAAGAAGGAAGTTTTTGCAGAAATCCCAACAGAAAATGCTGGATCGTCTACCGTTATTAATTCCCTGCAGTTCGGGTCTAGGTAGGCCCGATGGCCTGATCGAAGAAGAATGCAACCACTACAAACAGCGTGATGCTGAACTAACAAGTTCGAGATGGTTCAACAGGGAATTTAGTAACCGGAACGTCCGTGGTTCGAACCCAACCCTTGCATCTCGAATGTTCTCGTCTAGGCTTGGTCAACTTGACCGTTCCTCAGCCCTTGTGTTCACTTTGGGTGATATGGCAGCTAGGCATCGAAAGAATGTTGCAGTTGATCAATTATCATTAGTTGCTGTTTACTACAGGCACTCAAGAATGTGTATGTCACCGTGCCACAAAACTCCGGTAATGTAAAACACTTGTCTTGCCTTGAAGGTCTATGGAGGCATACGAAATTTAGGGTTAATAACCACAGAGCATGAGCTATGGCATTCTAACCGAACGAAAAAAACGGAGATCGGCGTTAACCCAAAGAGCAAGGGAACAGCATGTACTCTCTCATCTTGTGGGAAAATCGCTTAAAATGCCGCAGATGATAGTCTGTCAACCAAAACCAACAAAATTTGCTGCGTTACGAGCTGCAGATAGTCGGTTGATATTCGAATTACTCAGTTCATCGTTTCTGTTGATATCTAATATGTTGGAGTTGGGAGGTACCGGAGTACAATCCGGTAAAAGCCGCAGGTTTCACGAAATTGATTGAATAGAAAACTGCAAACTAGAAGTAACCTACCGCCCTGACAGCTATCATTTTTCCAACGCTTCTAAACGAACACTTGCAAAAAGTACGGACGTCCAACTTCTGAAATGACCATTGAGTTGCTGCTTGTTCACACTTGACCAACGACATCACACTGAAGCTTTAAACTACCTCTAGACTATCGTAACTATTGGCTCACCGCTGACACAGGATGCCACGGATTGTTCAACAGTTACGTCTTGATATGGATCAGTGACTAAAGCCCGAGCTTACCGTGATTCGACCTGGTATCTCGACTGTTCCTGTCTACGCTTGGATAGCCTGATAGTGTCCCAGCTCCCGTGCTTCCTTCGGGTGGCATGGCAGCTAGGTATCGAAGAGGTGTTATGGCTGAACGATCATTTGTTCTCGATATACTCATCACTCATCTGCTTACCAGTAGGTTTTGACGGGAGATCACCTGTGCTGCACCAGGCACCCTCATGTCTCAGTTGGTACAACATTCGAGATATCACAATAGATTGTATAGAGGAAGAGCTTTCAGCGACCTTATGAGTAGTGTATTACGTCTATACGTTGGTTTACTTTATTCACATTTCAAAACGGACTTCTTGACGTCGATTCAAGGGTTTTATCCAGCGACCATACAAATTATTTATTTATTTATTTATTTGTATGGTTGGTCATGGATAAATGACTCTACTCCTTACTTTCGAATGCTCGGAATTTGAAGACACAAAAACGCATCATTCAGTTCCGCGAATCGATAATTAGTACTGGTACAATAAGGAGCTTTATTTTACCGCTACTCGTGAGTGACCAATCATGGGTACGGGACAGATGAACTATTCTGGGTTGATCGTCTGGTTTGCAGAAGACTTTTTTTTACTATTATGAAGCTTTCAAGAATGCGCTAAGCAACAGTGACTCTTTCAGAGGGCTAACTCAATAAATGTTGTATATCATGGCAACCACGGTTGTTGCTGGCCACACTCAAAAATAGGTAATTTTCACTGGATTTCCCCAACCCGATCCGCGTTAGTTTTACAGAACCAAAGTGCATGTATCGTGTACAAAATGGAATTTATTTTGGGCACGTGCCCGTGTATATTACACGAACACGTGCGTGACAATCATGATTGGTTATCCACGTTCAAGTTTGTAATTTTCTTTGATTGAACTTGTTCTTGCCTGAGTTCGAATCAGGGCTTCGGCATGTATACTATTCATTCTGGTTTGTTTCGCTCTCCGGGACGCCCGAGGTCGGCCCAAGATTGTCTTCTGCCACTGGTCATAAACAGATTGAAAACTGCTCCGAACCAAGCCAGACTGGTAGCCACGCCATAGATGATTCTCCAGTTATCTAAACTCGACTAGATAGAGTAAGCGGCAAACAAATTTGAACATGAGAACTCTCGGTTAGAGGACCATGTTCCGCTTCATTTAGACGAATGGATTAAAACTATTCCAAAGAGGAACGATCTGGGAGCTACGGTGTTTGTTTCTTATTACAACAGTGGCCTTCAGCACCCACCTGTCAGATAACACCTAAAGGCAGGCTTCCTTGTCTGACCACATTTTTTAGCGATTAAACTGCTTCTGTGGAGGCACGTGCTTCGATTGAACAACGAGGCAGCTATCCAAACGGATGCCTGAATGCATTCCGACATGGTCAGCACTGTGTCATTAATAGTTCACTTTTTGCCCCGTCAAGATTTCAAAAGGCGACTTGATCTTGGATTTTGACCACTCCACTCCACAAGACATTGACGCGCAGACTTACAGACGTAAACATTGTTTTTACAAGTGTTAGTTACAGACACTGGCAGTCATGCGGTCAAGAGATCCCATGCTAGCCTCATATGGCTCTTAAAGGTCGAATAATTTGATCGATTACCATTGATTTTTATTCGGCTGGCGGGTCTTGGTCCATTCATTCGATTGGTTGTTTCTGTTCTAGGTCAGTCTGATCCAGACGAAGAGGTATTGACAAGGCCATCTGAACTCGCACTCTCATTCTCAATGAGACACAGGGATGCCCCTTTATGAGGGCGTTGAAAGAGCATTCATGTGATGTAACTACTCAGGGACACGGGTACATGTCATATCCATGTGCATGGCTTTCAGCCATTGTGGACGAAGGAATGATCGGAGGCAGTTTTCTTCTATCGTGAAAACACCGAGAGGTACTCTGAACACGAGTGGGGCTTCACAACAATTTTGATGGAATTTTCGCACTGTGATGATGTTCGGATGATGTTCTTGCCAAAGTCATCTGCTCTCATCAGTCGGAGGGGCTACTCGGTGCAGTCAAGACGCTTGCCTGTCCGCGACTGAGACAACACGAAGCTAAAAAAACGACATTTGTTTTTTTTATTCAGCGATTTCAACGGATATGTCAGATACCTACAAATGTGCTTCAAAGGGTCACTACTTTAGGACTAGGTTGATGCATGCAAGGGAGCCGCAAATTTAAGCAACTTCGATAATCCGTGGCTGAGTTAACTTGAGCCATATAAGGAACTGTGGAGTTTTTGTTTTCAGAAATATGTTAGCACATTGGAAGGTGACTGGGAAAACAGTTTCCTAACACTTGAGATGGGAACAGTAGTGCGGGGTTGCATCAAAATTTTAATAAATCATAATGCAACCGAACATCACATCATTTGGACGGATGAGTCACGTGCAGCACACGGACCGAACGAAGGCATGACCTGGTTGGTCAGAACGCCAGCCAATCCGAGTCGAGCATCCTTGACTCGACGCTTCTCGCCCCCTCACGCTGATTCTAGCACGACCTTGTGGAACGCCCTGTGCTTGCTTTATAAATGCAGTTGTAACAATTCTCCTTTTTCTCCATAAAGGGCTGTGTAGAGTTACCGTGCCTTTTGATATACCATATTGGCGGAGCGGGAAGCCAGGGGACGGATACAGAGTTGCACTACCGTTCAGTAAGTCACAACACTTTCAATAAAAGACCTTTCTTCAGAAGGGGCTTTCTTTACCAGGTCCGGCGGTTCCTATTCGATTGTTTTAACGAACACCATTTCTGGCTGTGATAGCACATCACTTGTAGCTCACCTTGAATAAACCGAATGTATGCATTCTTTTACTAACAAGATGACGGTCGACTTGCCCTTATTTGAAGGGCCTTCTCAACTGTTGGCACAGTCCCCGAGTTTCCGTTCTACTTGAACCCGAATCGCATCAAATTATCGAAGTAGAGTCATGTGTATGCCAGTTTGCTTTTTATATTCTAAAAGCCCATATATAGACTGACTATATATAGATCTGACTCATCTAAGGGACTTTCTGACCACTTCTCGTCTGCAACCTAAATGATGAATGACTTCTGCAGCCAACCGGCAACGAATTAATCCAGCCGCACGTAGCCTTTCCACCCACATCTAAGGAAGGTTTTGTTTAGACCTTGAGGTTTCCGTTTTCAGTATCCCCGTTCCATTATTCATGGAGCCTGATTCGATTTTGTAGGAAAACCGGGTCCTAAAATAGGGGCGGAAGTGACCCTGACAGTCACAATAAAGGAAACTATCAGCCTCCGTATAAGCTAGTTCGAAACCGCCTAGATTTAGTTTGATAACTGAACTGAACAAATAAAAATGTATAGGCAGAAATAAAGGATAGACCGACCACCTTTACAACTCACACTGTCTCTGGTCACGTAACCGACAAGCATTGGGCCAAATATTCCAGGCAGGGTGGCGACAGTGTTTGTCAGAGAAATGATAACACCTGAATGAGGGGAAACAAGATTCAGAAACTATAGCAAGGCGTATTTGTAAAGTCTGAAATAAACACTTGGGGTTAACATCTTGGACTTCCTTTTCGTCGCCTCGAGATCGAATCACTGTATGAACGCTTTCGAATTGTGTCTTTGTAATGTACTACTTATAAGATTGCTGAAAATCCGTCGACAGCCCACGACCGGTTTCGCCCTTTTTGGGGCTCATCAGGTAGGCGCAGTCCCCGGATTTCCGTCAACCTTATGTTCTACTTGAAAACAAATTGCATGAAATTAGCGAATATACACTCATTTGCAAACTAATTTGGTTTTGCGAGAGACTCACCTGGAACCCAGCTGAATCTCTCCTTTGTGATGTTCTCGAGTGACTGAATGTGTTGCACTGGACCGCCTCATGTTTCATTCGCTACGATATTCGTTATAAAACCACTGTTTTTGACAAAAAAAGAGTGGTGGAACCACGGACCTTCTGGTCAGGTGATTCGCGCTCTAATGACTGAGCCATCTCAGCCCGTCTCATCCAATATTCCAATAATCTCACCATGATTAAAGCGCCTCAATTTCGCGAAATACCATTATCTGAAAACTGTTGTGGACCACAGCCTTCTAGATGCTTCCTTAATACCATGAACCGGAGTCTGGATAGCCGCTTGATAGTCTGATGCACTTAGCCAACCGGAAATCAAAACTGTTGTGGACCACAGCCTTCTAGATGCTTCCTTAATACCATGAACCGGAGTCTGGATAGCCGCTTGATAGTCTGATGCACTTAGCCAAACCGGAAATCCGATGAGCGTGCGAATCAGCTGATCTCGTCCAATACAAGTACTGAATGTATAAAAGCGGCGCAAAACGATGCAGGCCACTGAACTTACCAGAAAACTGCGGAGCCAAATCCACTGCATTTGAAACGTATCCTGAACTGGCAGCGCCCATCAATCCGATCGCGATCGCAAAGATGATCACGACGGCGATTTGACTGCATCCAACATAACCGACTAAGAGTAGGCCTGTACCGATTCCGCCCAGAGCTGGCAAAATGAAATTCAGAAAATCGTGCATTCGATCGCATTTGGGTCGTTTTCAACTCAGAGTAAAGCTAGACGTGAAGTTAGGTAGAAATCAGTGCAATGTGGATATGCTTTGATTGGTTACTTCTTTTCTACTGTCCCGAAAACAGAGGGGGTCTCACAAAAGCTCAAACAAAGTGCCATTTGATTCCTGTCAGCAATGACTGCGAAGTTACGAAATAAATTGCCTGGGAACTAAGTTAAAAAGGAACAAGTTTATAAAACCGTATCATCCTTATAAGGAGAATCCTGTCTAGAGCGTCCCTGTTTGAATTTTTGCAAAACACGGGTTTTTATTGCTCAGGCCTGTGGCAGAAACCATGAGCATGGCTAATCAACTTTCAAATGCCTATCGTAATGGTTTTGAATCGCCTCAAAGTGCACAACTTCGGCTGTCCTATCCATGATAAAAAACAATTCCGCTGAAAGAGGGAGGTTGATCGTGACTCCTCAGTGCTCGTCGATTTGGTTGAACAGCATTCGGAAACAGCCACATACATGATAATTTCACCGATTGCTGTTGTGGCCCCGAATTCGGAGTTTATGAGTCCTCCCTCTGTAGACGTCGGTGATGAGGATCTACAAAAACAGCGTTATTTGTCCTTTTACATCAACTGAACTTACAGGTTCGAACCCCTCTGAAGGTGACGTTAGTCTCGTCCAGGTATCGATTTAAATCAATCATTTTTCATTAGTTATTGTTCAATTTACTGGGTGAGTGC